TATACTACATTCCATTCTCAAGCTAAAGCAAATAACTTTACTTGTTTTATATTGTTCTTATCTGTGCTCTTGGAACCATGCTTGTCATTTCCTTCGATTTTAATCACTAAGTCTTATTTTTAATCTAGTTTATTTATCATTTTTCTGTAAAAATGATAAATAATTCACGTAGAAGATTTAACTGTATCATTTTACACGTAAATAGTTCAGCGTCTACCGTTGGGCTTAGACAGTTGCATGATTGAGTTTATCCTTGCGTTTACTACTAACTCGTTTGATTCTTTGTTTCTTAGCAAAAAATCAAAAATGGCAGCTAACGATGTCAACATCGCACACAAGGTTGAGGAGCATGAAAATCTGCCTCAACATGAGGATTCAATCAGTGACACCCACAACAAGGGGGACGTGGCAACTCCGGTCCTTGGCGGACAGTACCCCCGACATGTGCAAGGGCTAACTCCCAATGATGCAGAAAATGGTAAGGATCTTGAGAGAGCAGCAGAAAGCCATCATGGGTCACCTCTCAAGACATGACCAACTCATGACGGAATTGAAGCAAGCGTTGTCAGGCGCTTCCAATAACGTCAACGGAAGAAGCTCGGTTCCTCCCAGTGTTCCTGTAAATCAGACGACTAAAAGAGTTGATAACAATACCTCGAGGGGTGAGGTCATCTTAAACGGTGCCAAGTTGACCGGTAGCGGATCTGGTATCGATAGAGGTAATGATCCCTTCAAAACCGAACTCATGAGATTCGTGAGGGAGATGGACAAGCGGATGGATCAGAACATGAAGGAGTTTCATGCCCGAATGGATCATATTCCAAGCACACCGCCAGTTTTGAAGGGCCTAGACTCGAAAAAATATACTCAATTGTGGTTTAAGACGAGCGCAGCACCAGAGTTAATTCTGAAACAGTTCAAGATCTCGTACATACCAAAATACAAAAGGACTTTAAATCCTTAGGAGCACATCACAAATTATACAATGGCGGTGAAAGGGAACGATTTCGCTCAAAATGAGATCGAGGCGCTCCAGCTGAAAAAGTTTGGAGAAACCCTCAAGAAGGGGGCCTTGACGTGGTATTCACTCCTAGCCGAGCATTCCATAGATTCTTTTGAAATTCTCGCGGATTTGTTCATTAAGGCCCATGCAAGGGCAAGAAAGGTCAAGGCCAGGAAGGCAGACATATTAAGGATCACACAGGGTGAGTCCGAATTGCTGCGGGAATTTGTGATCAGATTCCAAAAAGAAAGGATGTTGCTACCGGACGAGTGGGCAGCAGAGGCATTCCCTAAGGGTTTGAACACGAGGATCTCCAACGCCTCCTAATAGATGAAGGAATGTCTGCTCGAATTCCAAGCGACTACATAGGCGGATATTCATAACTGCTATATGTCGAAGATAAGGATAGACGACGAGCTCGAGTTCCCAACATTAACCAAGAGGCATGACATAGACATGAACAAGGATAAACTCAAAGGTGACTTTGATTCATATCGGCGATCTTCTAAAGGTCGTTTCTTGACTTACAAGAGAGCCGAGGGATGCGGCAGCAAAACACGCTGATCCTCAGATAGGTTCACTCCCGATAGAAGAACTGACCATTGCTGGAACAACATATCGTTACAAGAAAAAGAGGTATCGAGGACTCGAGATTCCTCGTATCCCAGGTTGTCAGAGTACAATATCAAAATCAACATACTGGAGTTTGTACCGGTGATGAGAACTATCCAAGAAGCACGATTCCCCAAGACAATCAGATCTGATCCTAGCTAGAGAGATCCTAACTTATGGTGTAAGTATCATGGGACTCGTGGCCACAGAACTGGGGACTTCCGGTTTCAACGCTAGGAGGTGGCAATGCTAATGAAGAACAGCTATCTCAGAGAGTTCTTGAGCGACTGATCCTAGATGAATTACGGCCGCATCTGAGATATTGCGGAACACTAAAAATTATGTGAGGACCCTCCTCGATTTACTATCAACATAATTTTCGAAGGGAATGAAATAAATGGTGTAATCTTCTTGGTGGCCAAGGAAATAAAGGGGTCGGTGACCCACAGCAAAAGACTCCATAAAGTCGCCAAAGACGACATCACCTTCACAAAGTAAGACGCCGACGAGCTTCTTTTGCCGCATAACGATGCCCTAGTAATCTCTCTTGATGTTTTAGATTTCAAGATTAGGCGTGTTTTGGTTGACCCAGGAAGCTCAGCCAACATCATTCAATGGAGAAAGCTAGAACGAGCCAAATTAACCAGAAGTATCCTTTCGGCAACAAAGCTCCTCGTCAGGTTCAACCTGGAAAGTGTTACAACCCGGGGAGACATCATTCTTCCCATGAACACCGAAGGGGTAACAAAGACCACCTTATTTGAAGTGGTAGCCAGCAACATGGGCTACAACATAATTCTTGGTAGGCCATGGTTACATGAAATGAAGGTTGTACCATCAATGTATCATCAACTGCTAAAATTCCTAACCCTAGAGGGAATCAAGTAGATAATAGGAGATCAATCGGCATCCAGAGAAATAAATGCAGTATCAATTTCCAGGAGTAAGGGGAAGGAGGCCGCCAAATAGTAATTACAGTAATTGATGCCTGCTCCCATGCCAAGTGAAGATGATAAAGGCGATTAGTCATCAGAATCCCACCAGGTACCAAGATACTTTCAGGTACCGGAAGAGACAGACGCAACCAAATCAATGGCAGAAGAACTCGATCAAGTGGCCTTATTCGAAGAATTCCTAGAGAGGAAGTTTCACTTGGGAATAGGACCCAATCCCGAACTCATGTCAGGATTTATTAAATTAACGTTGATTGTTTTGCATGGTCGCACTCGAATATGACAGGTATCCAACTAAAGGTGGTTGTGCATAAGCTAATCCTAGACCCGAGCTTCCCTCTGATAAGGTAAAAGAAACACCCAATAGCTGAGGTAAAAAACATGTTTGTTAAGGAAGAGGCAACTCGACTAGATGACAACGGTTCAATCTGAGAGGTGGAGTATCCCGAATGGATAGCTAATGTAGTTGTGAGTCCGAAAAAGATTAACAAGTTTTGAATGTGCATAAATTATAAAGACTTGAATAAGGGGTGTCCTATAGACCCGTTCCTATAGCCAAACATCGATAAAACAGTTTATATGATGGCGGGGCACGAGTTAATGAGTTTCCTCCACGCCTATTTCGGGTACAACCAAGGCAAGATGAACCCAGAGGATAAAAAAAACTTCATTCCTAATGAAGTTTGGCACATATTGTTATAATGTGATGCTCTTCGGGCTTAAAAACGTCGAAACCACTTATCAGAGGCTCGTGAACAAGATGTTCGAAAAGCAAATAGGTAAAACAATGGAAGTGTAAATATATGACATGTTGGTCAAGTCTTTGAATGCAGGTGATCATTTAAAGCACCTCTAAGAAACCTTCGATATCTTGAGGAAGCACAACATGAAGCTTAACCCAAAAAAGTGTGCATACGGGGTTTGTTTCAGTAAGTTCTTGGGTTTTTTGGTCTCACAAAGAGGGATCGAGGTAAATCCTGATAAAATTAAAGTCATCAAAGAAATATCGAATCAGCTTACAAGTGTAAAAGTAGTACAGAGATTAACAAGGAGATTAACCTCTTTAGGTAGGTTCATCTCTCCATCCTCGGAAAAATGTCATCACTTTTTCTCACTCTTGAAGAAGAAGAACAATTTCAAATGGACTTCGGAATGTCAGTAGGCCTTTAAATATCAGAAATGTTGTCTATCAAGCCCCACTATTATCAAAACTAGGGGAAGGTGAACAATTGTTGATATACATTGTCATCTCGAAAGTAGCGGTAAGTGTTGTTCTAGTCAGGGTGGATGAAGGTACATAATTTTCATTATATTATGTTAGTAAATGTTTGTTAGGAGTGGAGACTGTTATCTGCACCTCGAAAAGTTGGCCTTATCTCTCGTAGTCGCCTCTAAAAAACATAGGCACTATTTTGAGTACCTCCTGATAGCCGTTGTGACAACTTTTCCTTTGCGAATGTTCTTCACAAGCCCGAGTTGTCAGGCCGGTTGGCCAAATGGGCAGTTGAAATTACTGAATTCGATATTGAATACAAGCCTAGGACTGCGATCAAATCACAAGTTTTTGTTGACTTTATGGCTGATTTCAGTCCAAGGTTATTAGCCTTGACTACTAAAGAAGTGGTGATGGTGTCAGAAACGACATCAAGAGTTTGGACCTAGTTCATGGATGGAGCTTCCAATGTGAAAGGGTTCGGGCTCGGGGTGGTCCTAATCACGCCCTCGAGGGATACCCTGAGGCGGGCCATTAAAACGTTTCCTCTAACTAACAATGAAATCGGGTATCAGTATTTGGTTGCAGGACTCGAACTGCCCTGAGGACTTGCCTCCGAGGTCATAAAGATCAAATGTGATTCCCAGCTGGTAGTAAACAAAGTGTATGGTATTTTCTACGCAAAGGAGGAAAGAATGCAATAGTGTGTGATTGAAGTTCAAACTTTTCTTGCACAATTTAGGGAGTGGTCGATCACACACATCAATGAAGAAGAGAACATACAAGCAGATGCATTGGCCAATTTGGGGTCATCCACGGAGATGAAGGATCTGAATCCATTACTGTCATTGAACTTTTGCATTCGGTACTGGATATGGACGGCGATTGCGAAGTAAAGGCAACTAGCCTAGTCTGGAACTAGCGGAATGAGTTCATCGAGTATCTTCTGTATGGAAAATTTTCAAAAGATCGAAAGCATCCCGGGCACTACACACCAAAGAGGCTCGCTACTACCTCATGGGTGGACAATTATATAGGAGATCATACAAAGGCCCGTTGGCCCGATGTCTAGGAGCCTCAGAAGCGGATTACGTGATGAGTGAAGTCCATGAAGGAATTCACGAAAACCATTCAGGTGCAGATTCGTTGGTACTAAAGGTAATCAGAGGAGAATATTACTAGACTCGGATGGAACAAGATGCAAAGACGTTCGTGCGAAATGCGACAAATGCCAATGATATTTACAGTTGGTACACCAGCCGGCATAACTCTTGCATTCAGTACTATCCCCGTGGCTGTTCATGAAATGAGGATTGATATAGTTGGCCCACTATCAGCGGGTTCCAGAAAGGTAAGATTTATTTTAATTTAAACCGATTATTTCACTAAATAGGTTGAAGCAGGTCCTTACCAAAAGATCGACGAGCGCAAAGTGATCGACTTCCTGTTGGGACACATAATTTTCCAGTTCGGAATACCGAAAGAGATTGCCTGTGATAACAGACCATCATTCATAGGCTCCAAAGTCACAAATTTTTCTCAAAGATCTAAAATTAAAAGAATTACCTCCTCACCATACCATGCGAGCGCTAATGGACAGGTAGAGTCAACCAAGAAGGTAATTATCTAAAACCTCAATAAGAGGTTAGAAGCTGCTAAAGGCAAGTGGCCCAAAGAGTTATTGGGCGTGCTACAGGAGAGACACCTTTCTTTCTCATATGTGGCACAGAAGCTTTGATCTCGGTGGAAGTAGGGGAATGAACCATACGATTTTACCAAGCAAACAAAAACACGAATAATGAAACGTTGTTGGTGAAGCTGGATCTATTGGATGAAGGCAGGGACTTGGAACAAGTGAGGATGGTTGCTTAGAAGCAAAGGATGGAAAGATACTACAATCGGAGGGCCAATCTTTGTCACTTTAAGGTTGGAGACTTGGTTTTGAGGAAAGTGACTCAGAACACTCGAAAAATACACACTGGGAAGCTGGGTCCTACATGGAAAGGTCCCTACCGGGTTTCAGCTGTCACTGGAAAGGATCATACAAGATGGAAAGTCAAGATGCAGTCAAATTGCCCAGCGACTGGAACATGACTCACCTCAAAAGATATTACTGCTGATAGATGCTATCAATACTAAAAGTATGTGTTGCAGTCTTTTTCCCTTCAACCAGTTTTTGTTCTAATCGGGTGGCAAGGTTTTTAACGAGGCAGCAACGGAAAGCATACTACGAAGGGAGCGTCATCGGCAAAGTTATGACCTTTAAATGACAAGGCATTGAAATTATAAACCACTACGGGATGGTTAGATAATCTTTGGCTCGATGGAAAAGATCTTAATGGGAAGCAAAGCTTGCCATGAAACCAAAGATTATTCAACCGTTCACTAGTGTTTTACCCCACGGAAAAAGAGTTCTGGTGTTCTAATTTGCGTACTTCGCATTCGAACACTTGGGAGAAATAGTATGAGGTAAGCAACAAGATTGCCACAAAAATCGTGTCCTGTGAGATCCGAGAATAATAATATCATATCGTGATTGGGGACTGCATGGTCATCCCCATAGAAACAAGTTGTACAAGATATCGACATATGTTGGGAGTTTTCTTTTTTTTTTTTTAGCAAACGAATGCTTATGTACTTTCTATGATAGAAGGAATAAAATGAAGTCTTTTTCTTTTTATCTTGTTTTTTGTCCAAACAATGAGTTGAATTTTATCATTTGAAAGTTAACATAAACTTCAAATGCTTCTGCCAGAATAAACTGGAGACGTCCTCTTCAAGAGCACCGTAAATATAAGAGGGCCCTCTCTTATGAAACCCTCATAGTAAAGGGTTGATTCTGTGAGAGTTTATGCCCCGAACAAATAGCTATCGGCCGAAAATACACCCGAAGCCTTGTCTAATTCGACGCAAGAAGAATAAACTTTTTTCAATACTCAAGCAAAAGTCTTCTTTATTTATCAAGATGCCAAACGACAATAAGTACAGAAATACAAAAGAGACATGGTCAAAAGTCGCAATCAAGATCGAATTTTGGTGATCCTTAATCCCCATGAGTCCAAAGATGTGATTAATTTTCAAATCCAAGTCCAAATCGATGTTCAAAACATCAAAATACTATCACGACCCAAAAGCACCACTTGTCGTGATGGTGCCTAACTCACTTGCTAGGAAAGACAATCATAAAACAATAACAAAACATGATAACAAATTACAGAATAAAAAGGACTGAGAATGAAATAACCATAAATAAAGACTGCGACAATATTTAATTCTCCTAGAACTAGTAATACTGATTCATCAGCTCTAATACAAGAATATGAATTTGATAAGACAAAGTACTATCTGAATCAAATACAGATACAAAATGATTGAAGAAGTCGCCATGGACTGCGATCATGGTGCAGCTCTACCCCGGTGTCCATAGCATCTGCAACAATCTCCAAAAGAGGCTCGGCTGGGTCCAAATCCCCAATCTACACAATTAAATGCAAAGTGTTATACGAGTACAACCGACCCCATGTACTTAGTAAGTATCATGACTAACCTTAGAGAGGTAGAGACGCTAATCACCAATGATACTCACGTGTCAAATTTGTGCACCTCGTGATTACAAATATACACCTCTCGGAACCTTTGCCTAAAATTATAGATAAGGACTACAATGCAATAGAGAAGATACAGAATAGCATCAAAACGGAACAACAATTCAGCGTATAGTGAAGATATGCATAAATGGAAGTCAAGTTACACAGAGAGACATATAGAGAAGATATGTATTGAGTATCATTTTATCAACTAAGCAGCATATAAAGAGGATATACTTAAAAAGGCATGTATACAATTCCAAAGCTAATATATAGAGGAGATATGCAGTAAAATCATGTATACATCCAAGGAGTTTGCATATATAGAAGATACAAAAAAATCCAACACTAATCGGTTTTCCATAATCGCGTGTATGTCATCAAGGAGAAACATGAGCAGACAACCCTAGGGGGATGGATCCTTATCCACACCTCACGCACACAACTCATGTTCCATAACCGCTCGAACAACTCACGTGCCACAATTAACTGAACCCACAAAGACAACTCATGTGATGTCAACCCAATCCACAACACATAAAGCATATACAAGAATACATGTATACAGTCAATGGTTATCAAATCATATACTCCGGGACTACTAAAATAGAATGCTAAAGCGTATGCATATGCGAAGTGTACCACTACAGCTTAGATTAGGCGGATACGCAACACAATGATGAGTATCGTATTCAAACATGAAAATTAAGCCTACACATAATCTCTAGCCTGATTTTCGTAGTCATGTAGTTGTACACCATATAAAGCATGGTAGCAAGAATACCAACTATTCAACACAAGGCATAATATAGCCTAAGGACTACCCTGAACATGGATAAACCCAGTGTACACACATATGCTCAATCCCTCGCATGTACTCCACCCCAGCACGTAGCAAACATCAACAATTCAAGGATCTAGTCCCTCAAGCAAACGTGAGGAAAGATACTTACCTCAGACAATCCAAATCAATACTCCACAAATTCCTTCCCTCGCGGATAGACCTTCGAACGGCTCAGATCTAGCCAAAAATAACTCAATAACATCAAATAAAGCTATAGGAATCAATTCCAAACAATAAATCTTCAATCTTAATTCAACTCCCCAAAAGTCAAGCCGAGCCCACATGGTCAAAACTCGAGTCAAGGGATAGATCTTGAGTACTTTTCCAAATATGTGATTAGATTCCAAAACGAAGTCCAACACGGCCTAAAAATTCCACTCTCTTAAGTTGCAGTCAAATATTGCAATTTTCCTCTTTCTGATCTCTAATCCAAGTGCACAAATTTATGTGGAATTGAGATACATAGCAAATCCAAGTCGAAAATACTTACCCTGGAAGTGGAGATTAAAATCGCCCCAAAACGCGCATATATCCGAGCTCCAAAACTCCAAATATTAAAACATAAGCTAAACCCTCGAAATATAAGAGCCTACTTGTGATTCCACATATGCGGACAACCTCGCATTTTGTGAGTCCGCAAATGCAGTCCAGATCTGCGCATCTATGACCTCCTCTCAACTGGCCAAACCTCGTAGGTGGAGACACCTCTTCACAAATGTGAAGTCCGCATCTCCATTAAAACCTTGTAGAACCGACCCTCGCAGAAACACGCAAGATTCACAAAAGCACCCAAGCTTTCAAAAAAGTGCCCATGATTCACAGAAGTGACCATTGTCCTAGACAGTCCTCCTTCGCATCTGCGCACACACTGTTGTAGGTGCAACTTTGCACATGCGTACCCTACTTCTGCAGGTGCGATGCACCAGCACCGAACCTACCAACCAACACCAAAATATTCCAGAACCCATCTAAAACACACTCGATGTTACATCCTGCATTTGTATATGTTAAGCTACGTCGTGAGTTAGTCATCGTATGCTTAGATGTTTATGTTATTCCTAAGTTTATAAGTGTTTATGACTTGTATTTTTGGGTAATACTAGGATTTCTTAACATGCTAAGAAGGTTGTGTTATGAGGTATTTGAATTTTATAATAGTCGTATGTTAAGTGTTGAAGTTAAGAATTTTATAATAGTCGTATGTTATTTGAATTTTATAATAGTCTTATGTTATTTATGAGGTATTTTAATTTTATAATAGTCGTATGTTATTTGAATTTTATAATAGTCGTATGTTATTTATGAGGTATTTGAATTTTATAAAAGTCGTATGTTAAGTGTTGAAGTTAAGAAAGTTGTAAAACAAAAGTTGACAAAAGTTATTGCAAGTTACATTCATAAGTTTACTGAAATTTTTTTTTGATGTCATTGATCTTTTCTACGAATATACTTGGATATATGGGTGATCCACCCAATATATTAAATTTTTATGAGTCTAATTTCCAACTCATTAAACCTTTTGTCGGTACGACATCAGGGTAGGGAGATATGCATGTTTTAGCCGGACTGCGTAGGCAGCTCCATTGGGACCCACATAGGCGGTGGAGCTAATTTTTGATGTTATAAAGCGGGGAATCCCTTTCCCCACCTCATTTTTCATCCAAAATAGAACCTTAAGCTCCCTAAATTATCCTAAATAATTTCCCTATCATTCAAGCAAATCCCACTAGAGTTTGAGGTAATTCTTCCTTCGGTATCGTAGTACTCGTAGAAGCTTAGTTCTTGCCTGTTGTTGTAGAAATGGATATTTCTTCAGTTGAAGCAAGGTGTCTAGGGGATGGATATAGTTGATTTTATTCTCCTTAATGTTTATAGCTTCTTTTCAGCTTTAGATGTGCTTAGATGATACAAGTTAATGATCGAATGTTCTAGTTGAGTTCCGGGTTGTTTATAGAACATTTTGGGGTTGTTCTTGTTGCTTTTGAGGTGTTGGACGTATGTTTGTTGGTTGTGGTTTTTTTTCGTTTTAATTATAAACTTGAGGAATGAAAAAAAAGGGAGATGTTATCTGATTTATCGTAGAATGAGTTGTCATTTATTAGATAATTCTTATGCCTCTCTTGTTGGTACTAGTGTTATTTTATTTGTTGTAAAATAGTTAGGAAGATGTTGATTCCATTGTCATCATCAAAGGCTCGGTTTCAAAGGTGCGTTAAGGCTATTCCTTTATTTATTTAGGAAGAATACCGAATTTGTTTCCTTGCAAGTGTGATTCCAAGAATTAGAACCTCATAGATCCTTTATTCGTGCGTTTGATGATACCATGAATGTTCTGTTTTATACTGTCCCAATAAGATGAGTTTCATATGATTATTGGTAGTCTTTTGCTTCTCCCAAAAAGTGTATATTATCCATATTGGCAATCATAGGAAGACTTTCGTAACTCGACGAATGTTAGGTAGATTTGATATGAGAACTTTATGTGCTTTGTGTTTGTTGTATGTTATGATAGACATAACGAACAAGTCCAACGGCTTGGTAGTTGTAGGGGTGCTAGCCTGGAAGATACGGATTTGATAACCTGGTAGTTATGGACTCGCTAGTCCAAGAGATATCGGCTTGATAGTCGAGAAAGTACAGATTCACTAATCTGGTAGCTAGCA